CCCAAATTTACCATTTTCTACGATGCTTATGTCGTCTGCAAATGCTTGCGTGTATAAGTTTTCTCTCTCTAATTCCCATAAGAGGTCATCAACCACCAAGGTCCACATAAGAGGAGATAACACTTCTCCCTGCGGGCATCTCTTGTTAACTGAGACCTCTCTTGTTGTGTTAAGGAGATTACTGGTAATGGTTCTATAAGCATGAACTCTACCCACCTCGTAATGCAGTGGGATACTCCATGCCTTTGCATATATCCCAGTATTGAATTGTATGAAGCCGAGTCAAAGGCTCCTTCTATATCTAGGACGACTCCTAGTGCTATTTTTTTGCTTTCCAATGCTTGTTTAGCCTGTTGAGTTAGCCTATGTATGGCTGCATCGCAAGACTTTCCAGATTGGTATGCAAACTGGTATCGATGTATCGGTTTATCCCGTAGAACATCGTCCCTTATATATCTATCGATCAATGTCTTCAATGTTTTTAAGAGAAATGATGTTAGGCTGATTGGTCTGAAAGATTTGGTCTCCTCGTACGACGCTTTCCCGGGTTTGGGAATGAAGACCACTCTTGCACACCTCCAGCTTTGTGAAACATATCATAGGGCTATGCTAGCTCGGAATAGTTTACACAGTGGTCCCTCCAGTACTTCCTAGCCCTTTTGTAGAAGTGCCGGGATTATACCATCAGGTCCAGCTGTTTTGTATGGTTGAAAGGAATGTATCGCCCACACAAGTTTTGTTCTGTTTAAGACATGTATTACTTTTGAATGTTTGATTGTATTTAATCACCTGAAGTTGGGTTTCACCCATTTTAAATTTTTCTTCACTTTACAAAATAAATATCACTTTTTTCAAATAAATTGTAGATTTTCCTACCCGAATAATAACTTTTAAATATGTTAAACATTTTAATTTAAATATGTGATCGAGGTCTTTGTATACAAGATTATTCGACGCAGAAAAAAGTAAATATTGATACTATCTTATCTGAATTTTCACCAGATTTTAGTATGAACACCCCGAAAAACTTCTAATACAATATATCATAAAATAGAGCTACATACCTAAATATTTAAGTCCTTTTCTCCCGATAAGGAGTCATCATCATCAGTTTCCTCACTTTCCACAAAAATAAAAATTGGTTCTAATATTTCCTCTAGTAACATCTATCTTCATCTGCTATGACATGTCTTATAGTGTTTTGCCAGTTATCCGGTGAAAATTTTGATATGGAGTCACGACGAACATCTGGATGTTTAAATGTTGTATTGTTTTTTGTGACATATCGGTTAATTTGCACCCAGATTAGTTCAATGGGATTAATTATACAGTAATAAGGTGGTAAACGTAACATTTTAAGTCCATGTTCTTTTGCTATTTCATCTACACTATACTTCTCAAATTATGGTGAATGTTGTTTACATAACTGCAATGGCTTTTTTTATGAGAAGTCACTCTTCTGCGACTATTTATTTGGTTATTATCCAATAGAAAATTTCTCGCTTCTTCCATTTAGTGTTAGATAACGGTTTCTTTAATATTTAATGGTAACTGGCATTGTCCCTTACTATTACAGATATGGTCGGTAATATATCTATCATTTGACTGAAATATTCCTCAAAAATATCAGCACTCATTTCTTAATGGTAGTCTTTTGTAGAATTTGAAACAAATTCTAACAAGCCTCTATCAACAAATCCTTTATCTTCTTCATAATATGAGTGAAAAATAAACAATGACCTTTACCATTTGGAAATTTTAAGCCAGTAGACAAACCTTCTATAAATGCCTGACGAGCATTTGTAACCTGTTTATCTTGCCAAACTTGTGTTACAAAATGTCTTTCATTTATCCATGTTTCATCCTAATAAAAAATATTTTTGTCTTATTTTCTTAATTTTCTAATTTCCCTTAAATATTGCCTCCTCCAACAAATAATTTCATCTTTCTCAATGAGCGCAGATTTTCTATCGTTCTTCTTCCAAACGAAGTCTATTTCATGTAAAGTTTGCCACAATTTGTCACTTTTATCGTTTTGCAAAGTTTCGTTTCTAATGAAAGTTTATATGAAGCAGTATTTTTTTTTTTGTAAATAAAACGAATACACTTTTCTTCGAATCAGTTATTTTGTAGTACCGTCTATTTAAATGAATTTTCTCCCAGTTGACTTTTTAGGTGCTACTGTAACACTTCCATCCTTTCGTTGCTTCAAAAGTCTATAAATGGTTGCTTCTCCAACTTCGGTCATATTTGAACACTTCAAAACTATGCTCCGAACACTACTATTGATATGTTCATGTACAAGAGCGTCATGTACATTTAAGAGTAAAGTTTTCATATGCACGGTTAAACTGCACGTTAATTTCACAGGAGTCTTTCAGAGTCGATCTTTCCAATAAACAACTTCGTTAAATTATTTTTCGTCATACTGTACTATTATCTTACCATAATATGAGCGAAATTGATATCGAAAAGGTGCATTTAACGGCCGCCGGCCGTTAAATAAAATGACGGCCGCGCACCACCTACAACAATCACAACAATCTAAAGTTGCCTAGCAACCACATCAATATACTATACAAACATTGTAAGTTCGACAGTACTGTTTCTTGTTGAGTGATTATAGAGCGGAAAAGATCAAAGATGGAAGAAATTTTCGAAAACGATATTCCCTCCGATGTACTGGAAGAAGCAGCTGCGGCAACCAAAAATTTATTTCCGAGTACAACCCAACAAAGATATCAGCAGGAATACGACAACTTCGTGAAGTGGCGTCAGAATAAAAACATACATAGTGTAAGTGAAGAAGTACTGCTAGCTTATGTAAAAGGAATGTCTGAAACGTATTCTCCTACATCACTGTAGACAAAAATATCAATGCTGAAACTTGCGTTAAGAATACATGAAAACATTGACATATCAAGGTAAATTACTATACTATCCGCCAACATTGAACTAACTATATACTCATCGAAATTATGTTTGTTTGTAGATTCGGTAAACTATTCTTGTTCCTGAGGTGCAAAAATGAAGGTTATACCCCAAAGAAAGCCAAGGTTCTATCAGAAAATGATATACTTAAATTTTTGCTGGACGCGGATGATCATACCTGGCTACTGGAAAAGGTTGTGTTATTGCTCGGTATTCTAGGAGATTGCAGGAGAAGTGAACTTACGTCTCTCACTATTAACAGTTTCGAAGATACAGAGAAAAACATCCTCGTATCACTAAAAAATACTAAGAATAAAAAAGACAGAAATATTCTTATCCCAAAAACAGGACTTCCATTTGATGCATATGATTTATACAAGAAATACAGTAATCTGCGTCCTCCTAGTTTCAAAAATCAGAGATTTTTCGTTGGTTATAGGAATGGCAAATGTGTGCAGCAAGTCGTCGGCATACATACCATCGGAAGCGTTCCTAAGAAAATTGCCACCTTTTTAAAACTTGAAAATCCCGAACTTTATACAGGACATTCATTTCGTAGAACATCAGCAACTGTGCTCGTAGAAAATGGTGGTGACTTACTGTCATTAAAAGAACTGGGAGGATGGGAATCATCAACGGTGGCGGAAACTTACATAGAAAAATCGGTTTCTAAAAGAATGAAAATAACAAAACAACTTTTTCCAAATAATCCGGAGAATATTGCATCTTCAAGTACTGCAAATAGTTCACATTCTTCAGAAACATCTTCCTCTGTAAAATCTAAATATCCTTGGGACGGGTTGCAGATTTCAAATAACACCAATTGCGAATTCAATTTCCACATCCATTACAATAAGGAATAAATTGTTTTATTCCGTACCAATCTTTTAAGAGTTACGTTTAATAAAATTTGTTCTTATATTAGGTGTTTTGTTTTTGTAGCAGTATAACGAAAAATCTTGAACGAAACACGGCCGATAACAGCAAATAACGGCCTTAGCTGTTTATGATCCTCGGCTATCGCCTCAGATCACAAACTTCAGCCCGGCCGTTATTTGCTATTTATCGGCCTTATAACGTTAATAACTATAATTCAACGGCAGTAGGACAATTATTGTAATTTCTTTACTTTAAGCATTAAATACAGGCTGTGACGCATTTTCTGCAATCGGTTTTATCTTAATAAGTATATAAAAAAGTATACCATGCGGCGATTTTAAAGTTTTTACACGAAATTCTAAATTAAACACGTTTTATTAAGGAGGTCCTTTCGCCACACCTCTCGCCTTAAATGTTAAAAAAAAAGTTATTAGATTATGACTAAAATTAATTTGTATTTGTACAGTGCCTCACGAGAAAGTAAGTCCTCAACAACAATTCTCGAATTATACTATTATTTATTGATTAGATGGAGTAGAAAGAAACTAAAAATAAGGTTTTTGAAACATTTAGATTTTGTTTTATACAATAAAATATATATAGTAAACCGTTGAACTTATCGAGAAATTAATATTAAAAAATCACAAAAAATTTTCAAGTAACCTAGTTGAAAATTTTTTGTGATTTTTTAATAATAATTTCTCAATAAATTCCACGGTAACCTATATATTTTATTGTAAAAAACAAAACCTAAATATTTCAAAAACCTTATTTTTAGTTTTTTTCTACTCCATCTAATCAATAAATAATAGTAAAATTAACTATAATTCGAAAATTGTTGTTGAAGTCTTACTTTCTCATAAGACACTGTACAAACACACACATTTTAAAAAAAAAATTCTCAAAAATTTGCACGGTAAGGTATAGTTAAAAGTTCACTATTAGATAAATAAGGACATCTACTATTAGAAAAAAATTAATTTTAGTCATAATCTTATATTTTTTATTTAACATTGGTGGCGAAAGGACCTCCTTAAGTGAAGCCAACAATTTTATTCTGCAAACCAGTGTAAACTCATACATGTTAATGAGTCGATGGTATTTGTAAAAAAGTCATCAATCTCCGGTAGTATACTTATTTTTTATTTAAATTAAATAATTTGTAACTTTCAAATTTTGAAAAGACTTACCTAAAAGTACCATTAACACCGCAAACATCCACCAATGCTGTTTGTTCTTTTTAGCCCACGCGGAACCCGACGCGGGTGCGCTAATCCGACTCTGTACGACGTCCATTTGGGAATATCTCACGAAAAGCACTTCAAAACCGAGTCTACAATGTCAACTCACTGCATTATTTACGGTGACGGGCCCGTACCTGCCCACTTGCAGCCCAGTCGGCTCGTTTAAAATATTCAAAGTGCCCGAATTTCGGTCCCTTTCGGATGTTTATGTGACTTGTCGGCCCACTCGGAGAGTATATGTACGAGGTTGTGGGTCGCGTAGGGAGCTATTTCAGATGGCAGCGTCTGCAACAAAAAGAATAAATTATTTTATATAGGGAGGTTTTATTTCGCCGCAATATCTGATACAGGTAGCAAGTGTCATATTAAATTGGAATGGGGTTGAGTACGAGCACCAAACAGATCTCAAAATGTTCAATCGAAATTTATAATGCAATATTTAAGCTACTTATTTTATGAAGAATTATAATGAACAGAAGAATCAACAAAGGTATAGTTTTAAAAGAAATCCGTTTAGATTGGTATTTTAAAACAAATTGGTATTAAAATACTAATAATGTTTATTATTATTGCCCATAAATAACCAATAGAGTAATTACATAAGGGTACAACGTTGCCAAATATTATCAGTTATAAATAATATATTTAACTTAATTTTTAAAATTTTAAAAATCTACAATTGCATAAAAATTCATCAGCATTATAAAAATTAATTCGTGGAAAATAAGTTAAATATGTACTCTAAAATCGAGGATAATTTTTAATAAAAAAATTCAAATCTCAAGGAAAATAAAAATATAAACAAACTTTCAGGTTATATATTTAATTTTAAAGTGACACATATAGTCTGCGCTCATTAGCTTATAGACATCCTAAGTGTGACGTAACAAAGTAGGGCGGGGCATACAAACTTTTCCAAACAAACTCCTAATAATTTAGAAAATTTAAGAGACTCTAGTCTTTCGAAAACAGTAATATTTGTAATAGAAAAAAAAATATCCTATATCAGCATTCTCTGGGTAATCCTATAAACAACTTTCAAAACATTAATCTATGAAACACTTTAACAATAATTTTTAATTATAGGTGAAGTAGACAAAATTATAAGAAATTGTGTTTTTACTGATATTTATTAAAACACATTCTTTTTCAGTAAACATGCACTCAACTATGTAGTCTTTTAACTTGTGTCTTTTTATCCAACTGTTGCAGCAACGTTGGCATCGGAGCGGTATCTACCTGACTTTTTTTTTTTTTTCATCAATCTATCAATGATGAACTAACAGCGCTATCTTTTTATCCAACGTTGCTGCAAACAATGCAACACCATTCCATCAGTTTTAATATATGGTTTTTCCGATTAGATATGACAAGTGACAGCTGCATTGCGGGAATTAAGCAGAATTAAGGAGTTAATAATAGTTATTTATGTATCAAGGGAATTATAAGGGCCTTAATTACCGATGGCAAAGTTTGCGTCCCTAGGGCCTCTGGCCCGAGGGACAGCAATTGCCTGTTGGATTTTTTTTGTGATCTTTGAAATTATAATTTGACATTTTACTCCGTAAAGTTGACTCTTAATATTTTATCGAAATATAATACGAGATGTCAAATACAATATCTATTCGTTTTACATTTAGCTGTAAGAAAATATTATGGATTCTTTTGGAGAATGCCTCATCAACTTCGCCAAAAATATTCAAATTTTGTAATTGGATTCGAAGAACAAGTGCCTGCCATACCATCAGCAATATAAATTTTTAAAGTATGTGTCACGTATTTGTATCACACTTACTATTTTAAATTTCAAGAACGAGTTTCCTGTAAAATTATTCTGCGTCAAAAAGATACTTGCAGTAATTCAAAATTTCGTAAGATTCTAAAATTTTTGTGTCAAATCCACGTTATTTTTTGAAAGAGAAGTATATCTGTTGCATCTCGCATTTTTTATTAGAAGTAGGTACTTTTACTTTCTTTTCCAGAAGTAGTCACCAAGTTGTCAAATTTATTTTTTTTAATAGAATCATATAATTTTGTTCTTTTTAGTACAAATCGCTCACTTTCGTACGTACTTAAAATAGCCTCTATGAATACTATGAATTATTTTAGGCATTTCAACGACTTTTCAAAATGTGGCCCGTGGAAATATGGCAACCCTGTACACACTGAATTTTGAGTATGAAACGCTTCAATTATCCCGGAAATGGTTAGCACGATTTTTATTTAATTTGGTATATAAAGGTTTGGTAATACGGCTGATATTTTAGTTGTATTTTTAGTGTTGTCAGATCTTCCTGTTATCAGGATAAATAATAAACTGTTATTTTAAATGGATCACCTCGTATATTTTTTGTTATAGAAAACATTATACGAAATATAATCAGTATTTCTTAAGAATTTCAAAAAATAAAAAATATACAGGGTGATCAAAAGTAAATAAAAATCGTTCAAATTATTTTCGAGAGAATTGAAGCATTTCATACTCAAAACTCACTGTGTATATTTATATAGATTGCTCAAAGCGGGTTATTTTGCGAGCGGCCATATTGCCTGACATTAGAATCGATTTAGCAAAAATGTATTTTGGAACGAATTTCCAGCCTTTGAATATAGAAAAAATAATATTTATCTACACTTTTACTTCATAGGCATAAGCATATGTTTATTTTAAAAAACATAGTTAATCAATATATATATATAACTATCTATATCATTGACCCTGTCAAATCACCAGGTCCACAGTGTTGCCATATCATAACCTCTCATGTAACTGACATAACCTACGAGCAACCATTTTGTCGCGCTGTGACACATCGACTCGCAGAGCAGAAGGGCGGGGGAAAAAGGAAAAGGACCAGCACAGCTGCTAGCAACATGGTTTTTTGTTTTGTTTGGTGTCTCAGGTAAAATAATTTGAGCATAGTTAGCGGTTCTTATATTTTGCGTACTTAACTTTCTATTGGCGCCTGCACTAATCACATTAAATTTAATAACCATAGCTTCCCTCCTATATCAAATAGCAAAGTTTTACACAGTGTTCCTGTCAACAACTTTAAGAAAATTGACCTACTGGAGGATCTGGAGATCCTTTTTGAGATAAACTGAATTCTTGTAATTGTTAAAACTGAAATTCATTTAAACTGCAAGTTGAACTCTTTATTTAAAACTCTTTGGGACTCACAACAATTAAATTAAAAAAAAAATACTAATTTCTTTTAAGGTACTTCACTCGCGACAGTCGTACACAAAAATATTGTCTAATGGTTAATACATACAATTTATATAAATGGAACAATATTTTTAGAAGTGGCATAGCTCAGTACTCTACTGTCGATGTAGATGAAAAGATCTATTATGTTTTAAATAAAACATTGAAATTAGATTTATCTCTTACTAATTATTGTTTTGGAATACTATGTTTATTATAGATAAAAAAGTCAACATTTTTATGTCTGACTTTACCCATTCTTGTCGAAAGTATTCATATTTGGGTTAATATAAAGAATATAAATATACATTAATAATTTTAAACAATTAGGTGTTAATAAATAAATTATAATTTATTTTTTCTTTTAATGAACTATTCGTATTGCATAATGCGATATTTTTTTAAGTAATTTTTAAAGCATGTTCCCACGTAGCTTAAACTTTACCAGAAATGTTGGTTGTGTATTTTTTATATTTACTATGGAACACTTGGAAAAAAGTTTATTCCTACTACCGAGTCATACGCTCTTTATAAATCTGAACTTCATTATCATATTAATAATTTAACATCATTTTAAATAAAATGCCTCACACGAGTGATATATCAACGAGTCCTCAAATCATCAGTCACCAAACTTCGCTGACAGTGCGTTATGGATGTGTCCCGTTCTCGGTAATTTTTTCTTTGTAGACCAATAAAAAAAAAAGAGGCCGTTAAGCCTTATAACATGGCCTACTAGCGGAAATGGTTGTTATTTATCAAGTTTTTTCCCTCTGCTCATTCCCACATCAGAAAATGAATCATTTGTAGTTCGGACACTACCTTTAATCAAGCTGTCTAACGCCATCCATTTACTGTGATTAATACTCAGTTATACAGGTACAATGAACGGTTACAGGGTGGTATGAACTTAAAATTTCTTAATACCAGAGGTAATTAAAAAAGCGGATGTAGTGAACCAAATTTAAAATACGGCAAATTGAAGCGAACGTACGTATCGTAACAGACAGTACCAAGCTATATAGCAAGCCCCAATCTTTCTCAGCTATCAAATAATGAATGTCCCACATAATGATGGCCATAATCAAATGTTCGTCACAATCAAATAATCGGATGATTTAAAATAGAATTTATCGAATATTCGAATCATATCAATTAATTTGCCATCGTCAAAGGTTTGCCGCAATCTGATTGGATAGTTAATCAAGATCAATCTGTCAAAAGCCAATATATTGACAGTTAACTACCCAATAAGAACGCAGTACACCAAATTCAAAAATTCATACGTCATTATTTGCTTTTATTTATCAGACACATTTTGGCTTATGGGCCAGCGCGTACTGATTGGAGAAACTGGGTAATTCCCAGACTTAAAACAGATCTATCCAATCAGAACGCGGTACGCTAGAAGCAAAAACGCAACAACGTTGTATGTGTATCCTACTTAAGGGAAATAAGATTTTTGAGACCTGCTCTACCCCATATTTTGACAATTTTACCATTTTTTTTTTTTTAAATAAGAGTTAATATTAAACAATTTGTCGGATACTGCTAGTTTACTGCATTCCTCCAAACACATTATGTGAAAGTACAATTTATAATTTAGTAGAATGCATAGGAGTAGCTCACAGTCGTGCAATAATTCCAAATAATATCATAATTGCTTTAAAATCTTAGGCTATTTTCCCCTTTCATCGGGAGATTTTTCAGAATTACATTTTTACCAAATAAGGTAACCCACCTTGTCCTGACATACTAGATTCTTAAGTAGTACTAGACATAAACAAAGATGGAACCTTGCAGTAGTATTAATAATATAGGAATTTAATTTTAGCTAAATTTCTTGTCGCATGTAAATAAGTTGAAATGTTTTTAATTATTCCACTCTACTTGCATCTAATTCTTTAACACGATTATCCGAAAGAAATGCAGAAGTACAATCTTCCCTGGTTCAATTCGCAACATAAAACAAAATGTCTATTACATGGCAGTATTGTAATTATTTTTTGTTTTAAGGATCAAATCCGAAGAATCGGAGCAATTATGTATCAGAAATTGAAAATTAGTATCTTTTCCAAATCTCTAAGATAGTGTTTGCCTAATTAGGCAGTAGTTTTAATGCAAATTTAAAGTATATAAAAAATCACTAAGAAAGATGAGTTCGACAGCACCAGAACGAAAAACATAGAAGAAACGAAGAAATGAATGAAAAATGACACTTATGACGCTATGTAGAGGACACAAGGAAGGAAAATAATAAAAATAAGAAAACAAAAAGAAGAAAAATAAGACTATTTCTTGCGTTTTATCATTTAAAACTCTTTTTGAAGACCATTTCTAATATATTTAAGGGTTAAATTGTTACGTTTTTGTTTTATTAATAACATTTTGTCAAGTTCAGTGTCTCTGTTTTTAAAAAACTGCATTTAGTGTCGCAATAGGAAAAATAAAATATTCTTTAAAAAATACAGTGGTTCACTGTTAAACAGCTGACCCATATATTGCGATAATATGTGAATTTTTAAAATTTGAGATAGAAAGCTTTCCACTTTTATTTTAGAAGTATAACCAAAGCACCTCTTGCCAAGAAAAGTTATTGGAATTAAGTTATTTCTGAAATAAACTGCTTTGAAGAAGAAGCTTATTTGCTTGATTTTAACAAGATAAAGTGAGCTTTTAGCACGTTAATTTCTGAGTGTAATATTACAGGCAGTTATATGTAGTCAATGATTGGCTCAAAAACTTACTGTGATATATTTTTTTTTATATTTTTAAAATGCTGAGATAAGACCACCATGTATACGTGCGCGAAACATATTTCCCAATTTATCCCTATGGAATAAACAATGACTCAAATCTGAAATGTCACGCTAATGGCTGGCAAAGCACAAAGGACGAGGCCTCCGAATGGATGCGGTGCTCTAATGCTCCATATCGTTCCAGGCTCTGTTTTAGGATACATTAAGGTGCATTATACGGTCTTAAGGTGTCTTAATAGATTTAGATTTCGAGTAAATGTGGCACTGATAATTTACCATATATCGCGAAGTATAGTGCAATTTCGGTTAAAGTTCAAACTCCAATTTTATCGCTACAAATGCAATTTAAGTTAATGTATCCCACGTTTAACCCTACAATCCAATGAGTCAAATCAACTTAGTAATAGTTGCAACGACACCTTAAAGCAATATAATTATTTTTTCTACATGCACATGGATATTAGCTTATCTACGCAAAGATTACAAAATGAAAAAGTATGCTATTGCCTTCAACTGAACGAATATATTTCATATTCATTCTAGGTAGTGAGAATACTACAACAAAATGAAATCCGCTAATCACAGTTCATATTTTGATCAACCGACGGCTGTTATTTTTTTTTAAATTTTAAATAAGTTACAATTCTGTCAAACTAATTGTTAGAATTTTTTTGGTTATTGAGATTAAACATACCTACCACCGTACATATGCTGCGTTTGAGAATCCACATCGGATGCATTTTTTACATCTCGAACGTTTTTTTATCCACATCGGACACATCTGTCCCATTACATTTACGTATACTGAATCACGTGATCAAAGATTTTTTACATCTCAGATGCATCCGATGTGGATTCTCAAACGCAGCATTATTTGGGTGCATCTTAAAATTTTGCTCCTGAGCTCCATCTGTCGACTTAAAACTATAATCTAATATATTAGAAATATTCTGCAATGTAGAGGAAAATAAGTTTCCAAGGATTTCTCGTAGATGGCCAACTTATCGTAAATATAAATGCTCGATTATTCGTAAACAATCTTGACAAATACGGTGATTTGCATAATCAGTTTTTTAAAGTAAAGGTTGAATTATTTCATTTGGGGTGCTAATTAAGTTTCTGTAGTGTACTCATTTGAGTACAATGGGATGATATGTATAAATTATTTCGAAATATTTTTACAGCTGCCTTTTCGATATGGATACTAAATTCAAGCCAATCAGTGCATAATATTTCTACGGACAACAATTTAAAACCTTAGAAAAAGCCATAGAAAAAGCTTGTTAATCTAATCACGAATTAGAAATAAATATTATCCCGCCTGAGGTAGATACGCAAAGGGAAGAAGAAGACGTCGATGACAATGATATGGGAATTGTCACTTTTCCCAGAGATGTTCCTGGAGAAGTAGAAGTCCAATATTCCTCAGACGATGATACGCTTTTACTTGAAGGTCCTGTGAGAAAAGGAGCCGCTTTGAAAGACAACGCGGTAAGTGACGACTCGGACGACAATGTGCCACTATTTGTACTATTTCCCAAAAAGAAAAAGAATTCAAAATGTAAAGTCACTAGCAGAAAGGAAGGACTTAACTGGACCAAACTTTACACAGATATAAGTATGAATGAAAACACTACTGGCTACGAGGAAAGGCTAAAAAATGTTATTGAAGATGTGAAAGATATTAGCCCCGTTGAAACTTTTAAAAATTTTTTTGATGATAAGCTACTGAAAGTGATTGTTAAACAAACAAATCTTTGTGCATCACAAAAAAATAATCACAACTTTACAGTAAGCGAGCCAGACAAACATTTTTCTGCGAATTCTTCTTCTTTCTGGCTACCATAGAATACCACGAGAGCCCATGTATTGGAGCGTTGACGAATATGTTTCGGTTCCTTTCGTCGCTTCCGCTATGTCTAGAAACAGATTTCAAAAAATAGATACATACACTTTGCTGACAATACTAAGCTCGATACTTCCTATAAAATGTATAAATTGCGCCCTCTAATAAACATGCTCAATACTAGTTTTCGCCAGTGGGGGCTTTTTCACCAAACTCTTTCAATTGATGAAGCAATGTTCAAATATTTTGGACAACACTCTGGAAAACAATTTATAAAAGGATTTTAAGGATTGGATACTCTGCAGCTCTAACGGATACTGCTATAATAATTATGATACATACTGCGGAGCTAAGCAAAAGAATGACAGTCCAGATATTTTTACCACTGGGGGCTCCAAAATCGTTTTAGGTTTGCTTCAATGCACCGAAGTGCCCTCCGATTACATTGTTTATTTTAACAATTATTTTTCTAGTTTTGATTTATTAAAAACGCTTAGAGATATGAACTTTAGGGCAACTGGCACTATATGTAAAAATCAGACTAAAAAAATATCCTTTACCATCAGTAAAAGAAATGCTAAAAACGAAACGTGGTACTGGTTAACAAGTTTACGAAGAGAAATACAAGTTATTATTTGTACACTGGAAGGACAATAACATTATAACTATGGTAACAAATCATGATACTATAGAGCCTTTAGGAAAAGTTAAACGTTGGTCTTCTGCTGAAAAACAAAAAATCTGATGTGTCCAACACATGACTTTCCTATCTAGTTATTATAGGCTTTTTCCGGTTATTTTGTACAACCTATTGCAGCATCTCTATAAATGTTGAGAGAATAAACTAAATATGTACATTGTCCACATACATCTACCTCGAAACATTCTTCTATAGATATTCATGGAAAACGAAAATACTGAAAAATTAAAATTTCCTACAATTTTTTCATTACGGTCCATTTTAGAAAAATCATGTATAAACAAAAATTATAGAGATCGATATCGCAAACAACTTTTATTTCAAAAACTTTCATAAAATTCAGAATTTTGCACATTTTGTCAAATTTCTCGAATACGGACCATTTCAGGAAATTTTTACATAAAACAAAAATTATAGATAATAATATTAGAAGTAACTTTTATTTGAACAATTTTTTTTCCAAACATTAATAACAGATATATTCCATAAAATATAAAAGTGGCCTCCCATAAAGTACCCCCCAGATGTTCCGACTATGTCTAAAATCTAATCATTTCACGTCAGGCCGAAATAAACCTTAAGTTTAAAATTTAATGTTTTTTTCTTTATCAGTTTTTGAGTTTTTTTCAAAATTCGAAATTTACACATTTTCTCAAATATCTCGAATACGGTCCATTTTAGAGAAATTATGTATAGAATAAAAATTATAGAGAATTATATTACAAACAACTTTTATTTAAACAATTTTTATAAAAAATTATTTTTTTTACATTTTGTCAAATTTCTCGAATACGGACCATTTTAGGAAAATTTTGCATAGAACAAAAATTATAGATAATAATAATAAAAGTAACTTTTATCTGAAGAATTTTCTTCTCCAAACGTAAATAACAGATATATTCCATGAAATATAAAAATGACCACCTATAAAGTACCCCCCCAGATGTTCCGACTCTGCCCAAAATCTAATCAGCTCATGAGACGCTGGAAAAAAGCTTAAGTTTAAAAGTTGGTGTTTTTCCGTGTATCGGTTCATGAGTTATGCGTTATACAGACACACACACACACACACACACACACACACACACACACACACACACACACACACACACACACACACACACAGACACACACACACACACACCCCACACACACACACACACACACACACACACACACACACACACACACACACACACACACACACACACACACACACACACGCACGCACGCACGCACGCACGCACGCACGCACCTACCCACCCACCCACAGACAGACATCATCGCGAAAATAGTCAAAACGGATTCAGGGGACCTCAAAACGTAAAAATCCGTGGAAAACTCGAGGTCGAAAAAAATCATGATTCCTATACTTTCCTTATATCTATATACAGATAGGAAAGTAAAAAATTGATGTGGCTCAGCCCCACTTGTTCGCTAGCTACAATGCTTCCATGGGTGCAGTTGACCTGCTAGATCAAGCAGTAAATAATTATAGAATATCTATCCGTGGGAAAAATGGTGGTGGCTCCTTTTTACCCATTTAATAAATGTCGTAGTCCTAAATGCATGGCGAGTTCATCTATTGGCTCACAATGACAAAATGGATTATTTTTGTTTGGAATGTTGCTCGTCACTACTTCAAATCTTTTGGGAAAGCGACTTTTTTAAAAAGGCGATCTGATTTTTCTCCAAGAAGCATTGCAGAAGATGGTGTGGGTCATTTTCCAAAAAAACTTGAGAAGCATTTAAGGTGGTGCTGTTTATGTCATTTACGAGCGAGATGGTGTTGTCTAAAGTGTAATGTTACCTTATGTATTAAACGCGATAGTTTCATTTCTTTCCATATAAAAGATTAAATATCTGTTAAATTTGCAAACATTTACAAAAACATAAGAACTTTTTGTACTACTAAAAATTTTTTTTTTCACACTTCTTCCCATTGTACCTATTTAAGTACACCCCTTTTTTCAAAAAATATAAAAGACTTAATAATCTATATATTATAAGTATAGCCAAAAGTCTCCAAATGACGCAAAAAAGTAATAAAAACGGGGAAAAAAATGTCGTGGGAGGTAATGGGTTAAAATGTGTTAATCTTGCGTAGAATCGATAAATAATAGAATGTATATTTTAATTTCCTCTATATTTGTCAATAATTTGTTAATTTAAATAAAACTATATTAAGGGCTGATCTTCTCACCTCTGAGTGAAGTTACATGTGGGATTACTTGACAGATTAACAAAAAATAGCCCTATAGTTAAATCAGCAAGTAATTACTTTTAACTTTACTCAGAGGTAAAAAACTGGCCCTAAGTCAATTTAATAACAAGAAATAAAGTGAAAAAATAAACGCGTAGATGGTCCTGTGGTCAGGGTTCTTGCCTTTCATACGGAAGACTCGAGTTCAAATCTCAGGTGGAGAAAATTAATTTTTATTTATTGTTTATTTTATTTTATAAATTAGTAGAAGTCATACGACATTGTGCTCAAATTTCGTCTTTGTGCGATATTGTCATCATATCCACTCTTGTTGCACAAACTACTATTTTTTACATGCACATGGATATTAGCTTATCTATTGAATATTTTGGACGCCCAACTACCATTAATGTTAAAAAATTTTAAATAAGTAACAATTTTGTTAAACTAATTTTCAGTATAATATATTAAGATTAAATATACAATTATATAAGTTATTTTTGTGTAGAATCGATAAATAATAGCATTTTTATTTTTATTTAGTCCATATTTAAGAAACAAAATTAATCGAACTAAATGAAACTAACTTAATTACGAATAAAAAACTAACCGATTCAAAATTCGAACCACAAGTGAGCTTATCTGTTCGTCTTTCTATCAAATATATCGGTATGATGTCTATGGTTACTATCAAGCCACGCTATAGATATAGTCACTAGTATCTGTATCTCTAACGTGTAGGTTACTTTTACTAAGACCTCCCTAGGCCCATTGTGCATCCTCCCAAAATGATAGGCACCTGCTAGCTCGTAAGCCAGCCTACAGATTTAATGTAGTTGACAATATCGCCAAGAGGTGCTTCTCTTATATCGGCCGGTGTAAGCCGATATGGAGATGCTGCTGTACTTGCTAATTACCAGTCAAAATGCCTGTAACTAGGCGCATATTCTGTCTGGTCATAGTCCAGCAGCTATTAGCTGCAGTGTTATCAGAATAACTTTAGAGCTCCTTGGCAACTCTGCAGTTCCTTGTTTCATCCCATTTTTATCTTGAGTTTCACAAGATAATTCTGTCACTACCGATTTTGTCAGGCAAATAGAAGGGCCAGGTCCAAAAAGTATTTGGTTGGCTGCTTTCTTGGTTAGTGATTCAGTAACGCGGTTACCTTTCGATGTGGCGTGATCCTTGATCCATCTTAAGGTCACCATATGTATCGGACAAAGCTTCGTGACATTCTCTAGTACTAACCTTGACTAAATTTTTGGTCTGTTCAGGGTGAGTAGTACTTGTCTGCTATCTGTATAGATGAGCATGTTTCTTCCAGTAATCACTACTATATTTGCGGATTTATTTATTCGGTGTCAGGTTTTTAGAGTATTTGTGTTTGAAGTCAATAACAACTATGAGTAAAAGAAAAGTATAACAAGTTTGTGCAGTTAAAAGCTTCCACAACAAAAGATACAGTTGCAATAAAAGATTCTTTAGCTTTTTTAGGTAACCCGACAGGTATGTACAAACTTATTTCTAGACCATTAATTATAAATAATTTTTATAAGGTGAGTGTAATAATTATTCTCTTTTGGACATAATATAACGAAATTTTGCGAAAAACAATAATAATTTTAAGAATATTTTTAATTATTGCTACCTTCTATCATTTAACCGGTCGGTATTATAATCGTTGCTGTTAAATTATTCTCTTTATCAAGAATTTCGAGCTAATCCGCTAATTTAGAAATATA